GCCGCCCTGGCAAGGGCAACGGGGCAAGGGCGCAGGAGGAGCTAGCAGGGGCGGTGGAGGCGGCGGTGGAGGCGGCGGACGGAGTGGGGGTGGTGGTGAGGGTGGTGGCGGGGGTGGAGGCATTGGTGGCGGCAATGGAGGCGGAGGAGGCGGCGGCGGTGGCGGTGGGAGCGGAGGTGGCGGAGGTGGCGGCGGTGGAGGAGGCGGCGGCGGAGGAGGGGGAGCTTGTCGGGGTGGCGCTACGCAGAGGGTCGGCTCCGGTGGTGGTCAGCGCCAGCAGCAGCAGCAGCAGCAGCAGAAGCAGCACATTCGTGAGGTCCCCCCCCCTCAGCAGCTTCGTGAGTGGTACGCTGCACGCCAGCGAGGTGGGGGTACTGGTCCGTGCACCTACGTCCTACGCACACGCGACCGCGCGGGTGAGCAGTGCGGGGTTGCGCACTCCACCCAGCGCTGCTTTGGCCGCCTGACGGATGCTTGGCGTCACCAATTCCCTGAGGCCACTGAGATCCCTTGCTGGGGCGAGCTGTTTAGGGCGGGAGTAGCTATCTTTGACCTTGAATTCGATTCTATTCTTGCTGCTATGTATGCTGTCACTGTTAGTGATGAGGGTGACTGTTACCGGTGTTTTCCGCCCGACCCGGGCATTGGGACTGCTGCTCTAGGTACTGGTGAGGCTGCTGCTCTAGGTGCTAGCGAGGCTACTGCTCTAGGTGCTAGTGCGTCTGCTTCCTCAGGAGCTGGTGGGTCTGCTCTCTTAGGTATTGCGTCGGCTTCGGCCTCCCTCACCTTCACCCTTGACTCGGGGGCTTCTCGCTCCTTCTTTCGAGACCGCACCACACTCACGCCGCTTCGGTCGGCCAGTTGCAATCTCTCTGGCAGACCCCTCTGGGGGTCCTGTCCTTGCTCACTTCTCCACTGTCCTCCCGTGTCCGGCGGCTCCCTCTGGCACCCTCTCTGGTCTTCACCTCCCCTCGTTCTCTACGAACTTGGTGAGTGGTGCTGACCTACAGGATGGGCGAGTTCACCGGTTTGCTCCTGCGAGCCAGCGGGTGACCCACTGCACGGACGCTCGGACGGGCCGACACTTGGCCACGTTTACACGTCGACCGGGGTCGAGCCTGTACACACTGACCACTGAGTCTTCTCCAGTCACTGCGTCTGGTCAGGTAGCTGCGTCGGGTCAGGTGTTTGCTGCAGCGTTCAGGTCTGGTCCTGAGTCTGCCCCCTGCTCGTGTCGCCTCCTATCTCACGAGACTCTCCTTTGGCACCACTGCCTTGGTCACCCCTCCCTGCCTCGTCTCCGAGGCATGGCGTCCCGTGTCCTTGTCTCTGGTCTTCCCCGGTCCCTCCCTCCCCTTCCTCCGGGGCCTGCCCCTACCTGCGTCCCCTGTGTCGAGGGGCGGCAGCGGGCTGCCCCTCACTCCTCCCAGTTTCCTCCGACAGAGGCTCCGCTGCAGACGCTTCACATGGACGTGTGGGGCACGGCCCGCGTCCGTGGACAGGGCCACAAACGCTACTTCCTGCTGGTGGTTGACGACTACTCGCGTTACACCACAGTCTTCCCCTTGCGCAGCAAGGGTGATATCACTGAGGTGTTGATCGACTCGATCCGCGCAGCTCGTCTCCGGCTCAGGCGAGAGCTTCGGCTCGTACTTTCCTGTTCTGCGTCTGCACTCTGTCAGAGGCGGAGAGTTCTCCTCTGGCCTTCTGGGAGCCTATTTTCGTGCACGAGGCATCCGCCAGACCTTCACGCTTCCGAACTCTCCACAGCAAAATGGGATTACTGAGCGCCGCATTGGCATGGTCATGGACGTCGCTCGTACGTCCATGATGCATGCGGCTGCCCCCCATTTTCTGTGGCCGTTTGCGGTTCAGTACGCGGCGCATCAGATCAATCTTCAGCCCAGGGTCTCCTTGCCGGAGACCTCCCCAGCTTTGCTGTGGACGGGGAAGGTTGGCGATGCGTCTACATTTCGTGTCTGGGGATCTCGGGCGTTTGTCCGCGACTTGTCTGTGGACAAGCTGTCCCCTCGTGCTGCTCCCTACGTCTTCCTTGGCTTCCCCCTTGACGCGCCAAGGTGGCACTTCTACCACCCCACCTCTCGCCCTGTTCTGTCCTCGTAGGACGTCACGTTTGACGAGTCGGTCCCCTACTACCGTCTCTTCCCCTACCGCACTCCGTCCCTCCCCCCGCCACCGCTCTTCCTTGTGTCAGGTCCCCCCCCCGGTAGACCCCCTTCCCCCTCAGGATCCTGCCCCTTCAGGTGTGTCCTTAGTAGACGCAGTTGAGCCTGTGGAGGTTGCTGGTGACTCTGGTGCTGCTGAGGGTGCTGAGCTTGGGGGTGCTGACTCTGGGGGTGCTGAGCGTGTGGGTGCTACGCCTGGGGGTGCTGAGCCTGGGGGTGCCACGACTGGGGGTGCTGAGTCTGGGGGTGCTACGACTGGGGGTGCTGAGCCTGGGGGTGCTACGACTGGGGGTGCTGAGTCTGGGGGTGCTATGCCTGGGGGTGCTGAGCCTAGGGGGTGCTACGCCTCGAGGTGCTGAGCCTGGGGATGCGGAGCCTGAGGGAGCTGGGCCTGCTCGTGTGTCGTGTGGCAAGGCTGTGCCTGGAGGTTCTCCGGGTTCCCGGTCTCGGCGGGAGCCACTCTCTCCACAGGAGCTTGCGCGAGTGGTTTGCCCGGCGTTGGAGGCGTGCTACTGGAGCTGGAGGTCCTTCGGCTGCTGAGGGTGCTGGTGCCGCGGGTCCCGGAGGTGCTCGTACTGGGAGTGCTGGAGCTGCTGGGCCTTCGGGTATGACTGGAGCTGGAGCTGCTGAGGGTGTTGGAGCTGAGACTACTTCTGTCGGTCCTGGAGGCGGTCCTGCTAGGGGTACTACTGGTGCTACTGGAGGTACTGGAGCTGGAGGTGCTGCTGGGGCTGGTGCTACCACTGGGGGTACTGGTGCTGTCCCTGCTGTGTCTGGAGTCGCTGCGCGGCCTCGACCGTACTTCGTTCCGCTCCTTAGAAGCTTATGAGGGAAGTGGACAAGTGTTGAGTCGGGTCTGGGATCTGCTGACTCGGGGCTGGGATAGGCGCATGGGCACCGAAGCGAACTGGTGCATGATGGCAACCGAACACCCTTTTTGGCCCCAGGTTCGGGAACTGAATGTGCTTTCCCGGAACCCTCCTCTCCTAGCAAACCGGCGCACCACTGATGCGCGCATGGTGCATCCGTGGAGAGCTAGCACCATGCGCGCACCAGCTGATGCGGGGCAGCACCAGCTGGTGTGGGGCAGGATAAGGGGCCCGCCAAGTTGAACACCCCCCGAGTTTGACTAACTTGACCGACACAATTGCCCGCTCTGTAAAAGTCGAACACCTACCGTGTTTGACAAATTTGACAGACCTATAGAACCAATTTGACAAACCCCAAACCACTTCCTCTCGTTCGAGCACCACACCCGAACCAAGGCTGGTACCCAAGCACCACCAACGAACCTGTGCTGGTACCCGAGCCTAAACCCTGATGCAGCAGTCGAACAGGGCCTATGTTGTTCAGGGTGATATTTGATAAAGGGTGATGTTATAACTGAAGGCGGTTATTCCAACAAAAGGAAAATTACACTACACTTTCAGTGTGGCCGAAACCATTACCCTTACGAATCAGGGAAATTATATTCTCCATTTTCTTTACCCAGAGGCATCAGTGTGACCCCTAAAATTCACCATTTTAATCAAAGTATAAGGGCAATTCACACTTATAAAATAAGCCTTGCTCCTAGTTGTTAAATAACAATTTCTGCCCCAATTTTTTTTGTTTCTGGATTTTTGCACATGATAGGCTACCTTGGGGCCAAGGAGAAGAATTTATTAACATGCATTTTTTTATTAATTGAACCAAACACATCATATAATGCAACGTACCTAAAGTCGTAACTCCTTTCTGGGTAAACAGCTTTCTGTATCCAGTGGCGGATCCCCTCTTAATTCCAGTGAGTCGAGTGATATCGTTTGCGTCAACTCTTGTCATTCACGAGGTGCCGAGTGGGACGAATGCCAGCAAGGCAAGCGAGCGTGAAGCATGATTGGCCGAAACCGGTCAAACACAACTTCGTACGAGTTTGAGGCGGTTCGATTCCAGCCTCCCCGACGCACCGCCCCAAACCAACCAAACCAGAGGTGGTTTGTAATGTGTAGACCTGCCCCCAACATGGATCACCCACGCACAGCACAACTTAGGACGCGGCACCTCAAGCAATTTTGCACCATCGATCGCAGGATCGCTGATTCAACCGTACTGAAATCTGTTTGAGTGAGTCTAAATCTTTTGAGACCATCTTAAACTCCTACAAATTTCGATCCTGCGCAGGATCGATCGCCTGATCGGTGCTAGAGGTGCCGCGTCCTTACACAGTGCTGGCTCTGTCCCCTATCGTAGCCAAATAACAGGGCCATGAGCAGCATAATGTTTTGAAGCACCAAACCGTAGGTGACGTGTGACGACCGAGAAGGTACTTTTCGAAAGTACCTTTTCGAACGGGGAACAGAAGCTCGAACTCCTGGTTGGTTGGCGAAACAACCCACGATTCAGGTGGGAAACTCCGAAGTTCTAAGCGGAGCACGTCTGGGGAGGCACCGTCCTAAGGTTTTGCTCACGAGGTGCTTTGACATGTGCACATGCACAGCACAACTTGCAGTGGTTGTCACGTTTTTAAACGAGGCAAACTCGCCAGGACTGCCGGAGAGAGTCAAACGACTTTTGAGAGCCCCCACGACCTCTGGTGAAAAGTTATAACTCTTGCGCGGGTGATTACCCTCCTTTTCCTCTCATACAGGCTTTGAGTAAGTACAAATCACGTAATATAGAAATGATGGGGATCTGAAGTGGAGAGAGATAGGTTATAGTGCCTAGGTTATTAGTAATACTTGATTTATTTCTCTTGCATTTCTAGTCGAGCAGGTTAGTACAGAATCTCACAAAAATCCAAGGTGCCTGTCACACCAGTGTATGGAGACCATCATGAGTTGCAGATCAAGTAGTAAAGTCAGCTGTTTCTCATCATGGCTTCTGCCTGCCGCCGGTACGGCCATGATCGTTGCTCTCCTGGCCGTTATGACCATGATGCCCATACGGCCGTGCTCTGCGGTCCATCACGCGGCACAACCAGGTAATCACAAGGATTTATGTCCGGGCAGATTCAAGCTCAGTGGTGCTCTGTGGTCCATCGTATGTGTGGTGCTCTCTTACCTCCCTGCTTTCTCTCCAACCACCTCTCTTTGACAGCCGGAAGGCCCAACACAAAGCAGTACATCGTGCATCTATCGTCGGTGCCGCCAGTGCTGTCGTACCGGGGGGGAGTAAACGGGCTGCAGGCCACAGCCACTGTCGACGATGAGGAGGACGAGTATGAGGACGAGGAAGACGTGGATGACGTGGGTGATGAGGATTATGGGGAGGATGGCGATGCTGTTGGTAATGGCAATGGGGGCATCGGTGGAGTTGGCGGCAATGGCACTGCACCAGGATCAGCAGCAGCATCAGGAGCAGCAGCAGGGGTAGCTGCAACAATGGCAGCGGCAGAATCAAAAGAGCAACTGAGAGGGTCAGAATCTGTTGAGGATGGCTTTGATGCCGATGTTCAGTTTGCTGCTGCAGCTGCTGCAGAGGCGGCGTTGGAGATGGCAGGGGTGGCAGCAGCAGCAGCAGGTGGGGCAGGAAGAGGATTGGGAGGAGTGGGAAGCGGAGGAGGAGGAATCAGAGGAGCGGTGAAGGTGAGCGCACTGCCGTTTGGGCGAACCGGGGTGGATGCGCTGGTGGAGAGGGTGGGTCAGCGGCTGAGAAAGATGAAATCGCGGTCTGTTGGGCGGCGCCTGCTGGCCCGCGTTGCTGCTGCTGCAGTGGCCGCAGCAGCAGAGGAAGCAGCAGCAGCAGCAGCTGGTGGTGGTGCAGGTGCAGCTGCTGCTGCTGTCACACAGCCATTCCAAAACTCATCCTTTTACCCGTCCACTGTTTCTGCTACTGTCAGCAGCGTTCCTATCACTCCGTCATCTGCATCATCATCAGCAGCACCCCGAGAGGGTGGTGCCAGCTCAGCATCAGCATCATCATCAGCAGAAGCTGCGCCAGTCGGAGAGAAGGCACCGATGGCAAGTGGAGCCACGTCAGCAGTGCTGACGGTGCAGCAGCTGAGTGCACGTGCGGCACGCATCATGCGCTCAACGCCGTGGGGCCGACTCACGCGACCCGACGTGCGGTTACCACACGTCCAGGACTTCACACGCTTCCTGGAAGCTTCTCACCGCAGCCTGCTGCAGTCGCTTAAGATCCCATCCTCAGCCATTTTCCACAGGTGGGGAGGGGGGATAGGGGGGAAGAGGGGTGGTGTGGGTGGGTTTGGGAGAGAGGTGGGGCTATTCGGATTTTAGAGGTGGGAGGCAGTATCTTGGTCCACCCAACGTTTCTCAAGGCTCTAGCCTAAGGCCGTTTTCCACAGGTGAGTTGGGGAGGGAGGGGGAAAGGTAGGATGAGTCATGAGTGGAAGGGGGTACTTTGGCCCGCTCAGAAGCTTCTTATGGTTATGCCCTTGTCACTTTCCCACAAGTGGGGGTTCATAAGTGGGCCAATCGCAAGCCACCTCATTAGCTGGAATGTTACATGCCCGAACATCAGATATTTCAGTGCTGCCCAACGTGCATTCTACCCATACGTGTTGAGCAGATTTGTCTTTACAAGTCACCTACAGAGGCATGCTGTGTCTGACGTCTGCACTTGGGGAAGTCATGCCCGAGGGAGGTTGCTGAGGCAAGGCGACTCAAGAGGCACCCGGCAGTGGCAGTAGTGCGGGTAACCTCCGTTGGTTATGCCTCAATCACCCCCTCGGGCCGCCTGCCTCCCGTCCACCCTCCCCCTCTTCCACCTCCCACTCCCCCCCCCCCCCCCCCCTTTCCACCCGCCAGCTACACCTATCTGATGAACAGCTTCGCAGCGCAGCTCACCGCTGCAGAGGTGAGGCGACTCAAATTGCACCCAGCAGTGGCAGACGTGGAGAGAGACCGCACAGTGCGAGTGACCTCAGTGCACTCCCCCCAGTTCCTCAAGCTCGACTCGAGCCTGTGGCCGGCGAATGGCGGGCAGAGCAACGCAGGAGAGGGAGTGATCATCGGAGTGATCGACACAGGGATCTGGCCCGAACACCCCTCCTTCTCCAACCCTGTAAGCCCGAACACCCCTCCTTCTCCAACCCTGGAAGCCCGAACACCCCTCCTTCTCCAACCCTGTAAGCCCTAACATCCCTCCTTCTCCAAGCCTGTAAGCCCTAACATCCCTCCTTCTCCGACCCTTTAAGCCCTAACATACCTCCTCCAACCCTGTAAGCCCTAACATCCCTCCTTCTCCAACCCTGTAAGCCCTAACATCCCTCCTTCTCCAACCCTTTAAGCCCTAACATCCCTCCTCCAACCCTGTAAGCCCTAACATCCCTCCTTCTCCAACCCTTTAAGCCCTAACATCCCTCCTCCAACCCTGTAAGCCCTAACATCCCTCCTTCTCCAACCCTTTAAGCCCTAACATCCCTCCTCCAACCCTGTAAGCCCTAGCATCCCTGTTTTGGTAAACAAAACTTGCCATCTTGGGTTTGCACTTCGTTGGTTGCCAGTCAATCATTCCAACTCAAGTGGTGATACTCTTCTCCAATCGTTTGTGTGTACTCCCTCGTCCGTCCTCATTCGCTCCCCTCTCAGTGCCCCGCATCCTCCCTACAACATGCCTCCCTATAGACGCCTCAAAACTCACCTGTGTCCTCCCCGGTCCTCATTCCCTCCCCTCACAGTCCCCCACATCTACAACGTGCCTCTCTCTTCTTTTGCGCCACCCCTCTCTCAAATGGTTTGGCTTGCTCTGCGGCCTCATTGCATTGGAGAGGCGTGTGCACCAAACGATGTGGCCACCCCACCAATGTACTTAAACCTCCATGCCCTCACTTCTTTTTTTTCTTTGTTTCTTTTCTTTTTTGTCGCCCTCTTACTCTCCACCACTCGCCAGGACCCGAGTGCAGCTCATTACTCTGCTGCCCTTGTGCGCTGGAGAGCCGTGTGCACCAAACACACGACTTCTCCCCCTCCCCTCCCTGACACCCCCTCCTCTCCTCCTTGACGCCCCCTCCCCTCCTCCTCTTCCTCCAGGACAAAAACGGAGTGCCTTACTCTGCTGCCCCTGTGCGCTGGAGAGGCGTGTGCAGCACAACGGACGACTTCACAGCGTGCAACGGCAAGGTGGTTGGGGCGAGGTTTTTCCTGAAGGGTCTAGAGCAGGTGGATCGCAAGTTGGATACCGAATATGATTACCGGTCACCACGGGACATCACGCAGCATGGCACGTGGTGTGCGGGGTGAGTGCCGTGGTTGTAAAGTTGATCTGAGATGTTTCAGAATTTCTGAAGGGCACATCTCCCCTTGTGGACATGCTGGGATATCTGGGTCATGCTGGGATGTGTGGGACATGCTGGGATATGTGGGTCATGCTGGGATGTGTGGGACATGCTGGGATATGTGGGTCATGCTGGGATGTGTGGGACATGCTGGGATATGTGGGTCATGCTGGGATGTGTGGGACATGCTGGGATATGTGGGTCATGCTGGGATATGTGGGTCATGCTGGGATATGTGGGTCATGCTGGGATATGTGGGTCATGCTGGGATGTGGGTCATGCTCGGATATGTGGGTCACGCTGGGATATGTGGGTCATGCTGGGATATGTGGGTCATGCTGGGATGTGGGTCATGCTGGGATGTGGGTCATGCGGGAAATGCAGGACATGCTGGGATATGTGGGCTATGCAGAACATGTATGCTGGACATGCTGGTTGGACATGCTTAAACATGGTACGAGGTGTCCGAGGCGAGTGCTGCGTGCAGCAGCCACGTGCAGCAGCCACACGTGTCATCCAACCAAATCTCACACCTACTCCTTTCCCCTCCCCCTTCTCCATTAGAGCGGCTGCTGGGAATGCAGGTGTGGACGTCCAAATGCCATGATACAACCATGGCATGAGTGTCGTCCAAATGCCATGATACAACCATGGCATGAGTGTCATCCAAATGCCTCTCCTACTCCCCTCCCCTCCCCTCCTCCCTTCCCCTTTAGAGCGGCTGCTGGAAACACAGGGGTGGAGGTGACAGTACGCGGCCGAACCTACGGCACAGCTTCGGGTATGGCTCCGCGAGCCAGGCTGGCAGTATACAAGGCAATGTGGACCACTGTGATGGCCGGAGGGGTAGGGGCGTTTTCTGACCTTGTTGCTGCTGCGGAGACTGCAGTAGCTGATGGGGTGGACATATTATCTTGCTCATGGGGGGTCCTTCCTCCTATGTACTTTCAAGATCTTCCCTTCCTACGAGGACTCAAGGTGCGAATCTAGGGTTACATTGTAGACCTGGAAGCCTTCTCAGCCTGCTTGCAATGGCTAAGGTGGGAAATCCAGGGCTGCATAGCAGACACCGCATGCGTTTCAGCAGGCAACGAGGGAAAGGCCAAGAGCAGCAGGCCTTTGCAATCCCCTTACGCCTTCCACTCTGCCAGGCTGACAACTCTCGTTCTCAATTTGCGATGCTCTCATGCTTCCCAATTCGCCAGGCTGCCAAATCTCATGATCTTGGCCTATGCTACAACCTCTTGCCTCCCATTCTCACCTTCTTATTCGCACACTCCTATTCTTACCCTCTCATTCTCAGCCTCCCATTCCCATTTCCATTCTTACCTTCCCATTCTCACCCTCGAACTCTCGCCCTTCCATTCTCACCCTCCCAATCTCGCCCTCCTGTTCTCACTTTCCCAACCTCCTGTTCTCACCCTCTGGTTCCCACCTGTCCAACTTCAGGCCGGGGTGGTCACAGCCTTTGCCGCCGGCAACGACGGTCGGCCCAGCAGCATGAGCTTGTTTGGCACTATTTCTAGTCCCGCTCCCTTCTACCTCACAGTGGGAGCAAGGTACGGCTAGAGTGGGGGTGGGAGGGGGGGGGGGGGGGGGGCGATAGGGAGGTGGGGTAAGGGATTTCACGGAACGTGAGTATGGCAGGGAGAAATGCCAAGCAAGGTGACTTTTTGTCGACTCTTCTTGACACCCACAGCCTCCATGGGGCTGGAGGGATAACAGGGTTGTGCTAACCTTGGGCGATGGAACCACCTTCACAGAGCATGGTCTGAAGATTGAATGAAGCCACTACACTCTCTCCCCTGGTCTTTGTCTTCCTACCCCCCAACTCTCTTTCCGCTTCAACACTGCTCCCCCCTTCAGCACCATGGGGCGGGATCACAAGGCCGTGCTCACCCTGGGTGATGCCACGGCAGGTGATTATCGAGTTGATTTACAAGCCATACCCCTCCACCCCTCCCAACCCCTACAACCCCTGCTCCTCCCCACCTCAGCACCATGGGGCGGGAATACAAGGCCGTGCTCACCCTGGGCGATGGAACCACTTTCATAGGGCGCAGTCTTGGCGGCACTGCTGCCACGGCGTCAGATCTGCCCCTCATACGCGAAGTGTCAATGGTGTGTGTCTGGGGTTTAGGCCTTGCTTTGCCCAGTCGACGTTGCTCATGTTGCTGCGTCTTTTTGGGGGGTGTAGTGCTAGTGAAAAAGGTTTTCAAGTCCTTTGGGGCGTGCCTTTGCCTTTGCCCCAAAGGACTTCAAAACCTTTTTCACTAGTGAAGCAAGGCACTAGTGGGGCGTGCCCTTGCTAGTGAAAAGGGCTTCGGGGCGTGCCTTTGCCTAGTCCACATGTCTCACTCCATCGTATCCTTCCAAGGGGAAATGGCCCAGGTAATACTGAAGGAGACAAGGGCCGAGGGAGGTTCAGCTATGTACCTGTGAGCGATTCTTGAGAATTCTCAAAAGTTGACATGAGAGAGGGGTATCCAGCCCGTATGGCTGGCTGGTTGAAACTGCATCAGTGGGTGTTGCGGTGATCTCTTTTGAAGCCCACCTTTGGCTGATTCTCCTTCGCAATTAGGTTTGACTCTCAAACATTATGTAGGATTTGAAAAGGCCCTCAAGAGTCTGTATTTCCTTCTCTGCCTCCCTTCCCTCCACCAGGGGATCGCTTGGTGCGATCCCATGATGATGAACAGAACTAGATTCGCCGGCAAGTTCCTTGTGTGCACCCTGGGCGAGCACCCGTACGCAGATGATCTCACCTGGATGATCGAACAGGCAGACCCAGAAGGACAAGCGGCTACACTAGTTATAAGCCATTCAAAAGAATTTGATATGCAGCATTACATGCCCTTCTCGAATACCCCCAGCATCTTCTTGAAATACTCACAGGGGGTGGCTGTCAAGAGATATATCAACACTGCAAGCAGGTAAGATTCACTTAGACCCGCGCCTTCTTTCTTTCTTCGCTCTCAGATTCTCACAGAGGTGAGCCAATTATGTCTACAATGTATGCACTTTCCAAAAAAATTCTCTATAGGCATCCACCACACGCCTCCTTGGATAGTCCTCCCCCACAACTCCCATCCCCGAACCCACCCCACCCTCCTCCCCTCCTTCCCTCTCCTCCAGTCTTCCTCCTCTATTCCATCCTCTCATTCCTCCTCTTGCCTATCCTCTTATCCCTCCTCTCTTCCCTTTGCTCCTTTCTCCTCTCTCTCTCCTCACTTGCCTTTCGCCCTTCTCCAAGTCTTCTCTCCTCTCTTCTCTCCTCTCTTCCCTCCACTCTTCTCTCCTCCAATTCCTCCTCTCTTCTCTCTCGTCTCTCCACTCTGCCCTCTTTAATTCCCTCTTCTATTCTCCCCTCTCTTTCCTCATCACTTCCTTGTTTTCTTCCCACCCCCGCGCTCCCCGCTAAACCACTCCTGCTCTGCAAATCCTTTCCCCCTTCCCCCTCCCCTCCCCACATCTTCCCACTTCCCCCTTTTTCTTTCCCCCTTTCCTCTTCCCTCTTCCCCCATCCCGTTTTCCTCTCCCTTCCCCTTCATGTCAATGCAGACCCACAGCAACGCTTTCCGCATTCACCGCCTCCTATTCCTCCAACGCCCCTCAGCTCGCTTTCTTCTCCTCCACCGGGCCCCCCCGAAGCCCACTCCTCCCTCCGGCGCTTCTGATCCGCGACTTCCCCACTAACGACATTCTTAAACCCGACGTCATTGGGCCGGGGTTCGAACTATGGGCCGCAGGTTCGGGTAAATCGGTCGATACTGCTACGACCGATGCGCCAAACTTCAATTACTGGTCCGGGACATCTATGTCGACGCCGCATTTGGCAGGGATCATGGCGCTGATTTTGCAAAGCAAACCGAATTGGTCCCCCTCGCAGGTGATTTCTGCGATAACTTCTACGGCATACACAAGGAATAAGAATGGGCAGCCGATTCAACGGGCAGATGGAACGAAAGCGACCGCATGGGACTATGGAGGAGGGCACGTGGATCCCACGCGTGTCTTGGACCCTGGGCTCACGTTTCATGCGGCTCACAAGCACTTTGTTAATTTCCTCATGATGAGGGACCCGATAAGAACGAAGAAGCGATTTCGGCGCATGGGAAAGGCACATCCAGTTTTCCCCTGGAACCTCAACCGCGCCTCGATAGCTGTAACTCGACTACACGGCATTACTGTAGTGTACCGGCGAGTGAAAAACGTCTACAACCTGAAATCTACTTATAGCGCGAAGGTGGTCCCTCCACCGGGCTTTATCGTGAGAGTTTGGCCGAAGAAGATGACAATTCGCCCCGGAAAATCAAGGGTGTTTAGGGTCTCCATTATAAGGTTCTTGCCGTTAGAGTCGTTTAGGTTTGGAAAAATCACATGGACTGACCAGCATGGCCATTCTGTGCCAGTGCGCCTCGTTGTTAGGTCTCCCATCTTGCCATGATTGTCATGACACCATGATTGCCTTGTCAGAACATTATATAGCTTATACATTTGTGTAGGCTATAGTGGGGTATCCCATAGGGGGTACAACCCAATTAGGGTTAGTACTTGTACTCACTCATTTCATAGTTCATTCATTCTTGTTCTAACTTCCTCATGGTATCGAGCAGGTTCCCCCGTGGGAACTGTGCCTAGGGCCCACCACATCGATTTTTTTTCCTGCCCAAAGCGCGCTCAGCCCGAGTCGCGCTCCGGGCCCTTACGTCGTCGAGCCGCCCTAGCGGCCTCCCCACGCCCTACCTACGGCCCCGCCGCCCTTCACTGCGGCTCGCGCCGCCCTTCTCGGCCCGTCGGCGCCCTCGCGCTGCCCGTCTCGGCCCGACGCCGCCCTCGCGCCGCCTGTCCCGGCCCCGCGCCGCCTGTCCCGGCCCGTCGCCGCACGGCCCGACGCCTCCCTAGAGGCGTCGCGTGCCGCCCCTACCTACGGCCCTACTCGCCGCCCTACATGCGGCCGTACCGCCGCCTTACCTGCGGCCGTACCGCTGCCCTACTTGCGGCCCTACCGCCGCCCTACCGTCGGCCCTACCGCCGCCCTACCTGCGGCCTTCCCGCCGCCCTACCGACGGCCCTACCGCCGCCCTACCTGCGGCCTTCCCGCCGCCCTACCGTCGGCCCTACCGCCGCCCTACCTGCGGCCTTCCCGCCGCCCTACCTGCAGCCCTACCGCCGCCCTACCTGCGGCCCTACCGCCGCCCCACCTGCGGTCCTACCGCTGCCCTACCTGCGGCCCTACCGCCGTGCTACATACGGCATGTGGATCTTCAGGGTGAAGCGACCGCCGGGTTCTCCGCCTGTCTTCAAGGCGCGTTACGTGGCTCGTGGCTTCAGTCAGCGGCAGGGAGTTGACTACTTTCATACCTTCTCCCCCACCCCGAAGATGATCACTCTTCGGGTGCTGCTGCTCACCATGACTACGAGCTGCACTCTCTCGACTTCAGCACAGCTTTCTTGCAGGGCAGCCTGCACGAGGAGATCTGGCTGCGTCGCCCACCAGGCTTCACTGGGTCTTTCCCTCCTGGTACCCATTGGAGTGTCCGGCGTCCAGTCTACGGTCTCCGCCAGGCGCCACGTGAGTGGCACGATACACTGAGGACTATGCTTGCGGCTCTTGGGTTTGCTCCTTCTACTGCTGACCCGATGCTGTTTCTGCGCACCGACACCTCTTTGCCGCCCTTCTACATCCTCGTGTACGTCGACGACTTGGTCTTTGCCATAGCTGACACTGCTAGATTCGCCTACGTGAAGTCCGAGCTGTAGAAGAGACACACGTGCACTGACCTGGGTGAACTGCGTAGCTACCTTGGCTTGCAGATCACCCGGGACAGAGCACGCCGCACCATTACCCTGACTCAGTCACACATGGTGCAGCAGGTCCTTCAGCGCTTCGGCTTCACGTACTCCTCGCCTCAGGCCACTCCTCTGTCTACTCGCCAGTCACTCTCGGCTCTGCCTTCAGATGAGTCCGTAGAGTCGAGTGGCCCGTACCCAGAGCTTGTTGGCTGCCTCATGTATCTGATGACCTGCACACGACCTGACCTTGCATACCCTCTTAGCATTCTCGCACGCTATGTTGCTCATGGGAGACACCGACCAGAGCACATGGCTACAGCGAAGAGGGTGTTGCGCTACTTGTGCAGTACGTCGGGCATGGGGCTAGTGCTTGGAGGGCGGAGTCCAGTGGTCCTTACTGGGCACGCGGACGCTTCTTGGGCTGACGACCAGGCTACGCAGCGGTCGTCACAGGGTTACACCTTCAGCCTTGGTTCCGGGTCTGTTTCGTGGCGGGCTACTCGCTCGTCTTCTGTTCTCGGCTCCAGTTGTGAGGCTGAGATCTATGCCGGGGCCATGGCGGTACAGGAGCTTCGCTGGCTCACCTACCTGCTGACTGACCTTGGAGAGCAGCCTCGTTCTCCTCCAGTCGTGTACGTAGACAACAAGGCCATGCTGGCCTTGTGTCGAGAGTAGCGTCTGGAGCACAGAACAAAGCACATTGCTTTCCGCTACTTCCTTGCTTGTGAGCTACAGCAGCGTGGACAGTTGCGGCTTGCGTACGTGGCCTTTGAGGCCAACATTGCTGATGTGTTCACCAAGGCACTTGCGCCTTTTGATCATCAGCGCTTCTGCACTCAGCTGGGTCTTGTGCCTATCTTGCCTCACTTGCTCTCCTCTTGACCTTGCTTGTACTGTCACATATATATATACCTGCTCTTGCTTGTCTAGCTTTATATATGTGTGTGTACTCTTGCATGTGAACTGGCCTTGTGGCCTTGTCGCTGTGCTCGGACTGTGTGGTGACTTTGTGATCCACCCTGAGCTTGCTTTGCTTTGCTTGACTGTTCTTGTGACCCCTTGTTCTCCCCCACTTTGCCTATGGGGGTGTGTCAGAACATTATATAGGTTATGCATTTGTGTAGGCTATAGTGGGGTATCCCGTAGGGGGTACAACCCAATTAGGGTTAGTACTTGTACTCACTCATTTCATAGTTCATTCATTCTTGTTCTAATTTCCTCATGCCTATCATTATATATCCATGCTTGTTATTGCATGTACTGCAATGCATTCCCCAAAGTAGAACAATTGGTAGGCTTTGTGAATCATGAGGTAAATACCTGCTAGGGCAGGAACTAGAGGTCAGAGTGCTTTTGTACAAAGAAGGTAGAGCAAATAGTTGTGGAAAACTCAAAAGGGATGGCAAGAGAGATGCTTTGGTAAGGTAACGATTGTTGATTGTTGCATGCCTGCCACGGTAGAGACAAGAAGTGGGAAGGCTTTGATACAAAGATGATACAGCAGATGGCCATGAATGAAAATTATTGGCCTGGACGGTACAAGAGAGAAGGAAGCACGGAGCAGAAAATGGTACTGTACTAAAAAGCAGAAAGAGGGCAATAAGTGGAGTGATAACAATGAAAAGCGAGTGGAAACCCCCCCCACGGTCCCTCCAAGGCCCCCCTACCCCCCTATCCTCCTCACATCCCCTCGCAGCCCCCCCTAACCCTGGCATGGCATGGTTCTCCCCCCCAACTCCGGCATGGCATGGTCCCCCCCCCCCATCCCTGGCATGGCATGGTTCCCCCCTTGTCCGTGGCATGGCCACAAAGCAACATGGTACGAGAGGTGTTGCTGTGGTACTTTTTTGTTACCTTGGTCTTCTTCTCTCTTTTTTTTTTTTTTTTTTCCTGTTCCAGTTTCTGTTTCAGTCACAGGGCGTCTGGAACAGTAACCGGAGGAACAGTAACCGGGTGGCATGAACAGTAATCAGGCGGTGTGAACAGTAACCAGGCGGCAGGAGCAGTGACTGGGCAGAAGGAGCAGCAACCAGGCGACAGGAATAGTAACTGAGCGGAAGGAACAGCAATGAGCGGCAGGAGCAGCGGGCGGCTGGGACAGTAAACAGACAGCAGGAACAGTAACCGGGTCCAAGTCTGTCCCAAACCGACAAGCTTGCAGGGACCAAGCCTCAAACCGACAGGCTTCCCACGTGCCTAGCCCAGACCGACCCGAGAACTCTTATATCGACACACGCACGAGTACAAACAGTCTCTTTTTTTGTATCCTCCTACACATATATATCTCATGTCCTTGCGGCAAGAGACGCCTTGGCGGGGTGAGAAGGTCTCTTCACAGCGCCCTGCAGGAAGGAGAGAAGGCCACCTGCGCAAGGAAGGGTGGGGTGGGATGGCACGATGGCAGGTGTGAAGAACGGCGAGCAGAGTGACCAAGGGGAACAAGAGGTGAGCACGGGAGAAGAACGGTGAACAGAGGGACCAGAAGGAACAAAAGGTGAATACTGGGGAGAAGACGGGTGGTGTACAGAGGGAACAAGAGGTGAATAGTGGGGGATGGAGAAACGGTAGGATGAACAGTGGGGGGTGGAGAAGCAGTAGGATGTGCGAAAAGTTACTCGACAAAGGTAGTGAGCTAGACTACGGGGGTTGGCACGAACTACTAAGAGTTATTGTAGCTTTGCTTGCATTCCTTAGCACTTGCACATTCACGGGAGAAGTTGGCAAGAGTTTTCACTAGCAAAGTCGAAATCACAGAATCATTGAACAAGCAATGACAGAATGGCTACACCAGTCACCTAGCAACCCTGCAGCTAGCCTGGTCGGCCGCCACGACAGCTTGGTCGACCGCCCGCCAGCGTTGCGCAGAGGAGCCGCTCCAGCA